TCAAAATGGACTGCTGCAGTTAAAAACTGGAGTGTGTTATGACATGTGAATCACTGCCTCCCACTTCTCATTCACTAACTCTGCCTGAGAGGCTCTGTTGAGATGTCAAAAGCACATTTTTATGTGTATGTTAATTTGCTAGGTGCTATCAGTCCATTCTCCAACATCACTGAGGAACTTCTTGTTCCTGCTTAAAGGATAGGAGAGACATCTCCGCTAGCCACTTGTGTGGCAGATAACTAATATGAAGAACATATAAGGAACTCAAAGCTCATAACAATGAATGAACAAGACAGTCAATAAAAAAATGAGCAAACTGTCTGAAAAGACCCTTTTCAAGAAAAATAATCTGGTCAACAAATATTCCAAAATGGAAATTACACCCATGGCCCTTCTTACTCCATTCACATGGCTATTAGCAACAGACAAAGGATAATTGTTCGTGAGGATGCAGAACAAAAAGGAACAGTTACATACTGTTGGTGGGAATGGAAATCAATTTTGTCATTAAAGGTTTTACAAGAAATTGAAAATAGGACTACCATTTGATACATCTATACCACTCCTAGGTATATACCAGATAGAATCTTATCCACACTCACTAGAGACACCTACAAATCCATTTTCATTGTAATGCAGTCATAGTATCCAGGTTATGAAATCAATCTTGGTGTCTATCAACAAATGGATAAAGAAAATTTTAACACACACACACACACACCACATCACACTGGAGTTTCATATAGTCATAAAAATGAATAACATATTTGCTAGAAAATGAATGAACTAGAAGTCATCATGTTAAGTGAAGTAAGTCAGACTTAGAAAAATGTATCTATCATGTTTTCTGTCATATGTGGAACCTAGAATAGAAAAAATTAAAAGTCTTAAAATGATGACCTGAAAGTAGAATGGCTCTTAGGAAGGCATGCGCAGACATGGGAAAGGGAGGAAGAGGAAAGGTTCAGAGTTGGGAAAGTAGAATCGAGCAAAGTGCAGCATGCACAAATAGAAACAGCGGCAAACCCATTAGTAGATATAACTAATAATAGTTATTATTTTCAAATGAGTGGTTGGCCTGAAAATAATGTAACCTATGAAACAAAGACCAATCAACAGATTCCTCCTCTTTTTTTTTTTTCCCCGATGTCTCCCTATGTAGCTTGGACTGTCCAGGAACTTATTATGTAGACCAGGTTGGCCTTTAACTCACAGAGATCCATCCACCTGGCCTCTCAAGTGTTGGGATTAAAGGACTGCTTAATTAAACCACACCAGGCTAGTACTCACATTTTTGAATTGAGAACATTTTTTTCTTTGAGATTGTAGAATCTTTCAGCTTTGCGATTTAAATTAATATTAGAAACTCTTTCAAGTGACTGGTTCATTAAAATGCATCATAATCTTGAAATTCTTGTTTTCTAATCAGCTGTCTTCCCTACTTCTCTAGAATCCCTAATGAAGAGACTACTTTGACACCTGAGCTCTGAAGAAATGGTCAGAATGTGCTGTTACACTTTTAAAAATTAAAGCACAGGGGCTCAGAATAAAAATAGATCTCAGAGGTAGAGTCTCCACTGTTCACATGTGGGGGTCTGTTTTCACATTTCCATTGTCATGCATGTACATGAGAACACACACACACACACACACACACACACACACACACACACACACACACACACACACAGGATAGGTATGGTGGTGCCTGTGATCTCAGTCCTGGAAGAAGAGGGAGGGGAATCAGAGGGTCAAAGTTGACCTTGGATATACAGCAAGTTTGAGTTCAGCCTGGGCTACATAAGACCTTGTCTCAGCAGCAACAGCATCGACAGAAGCCAAGCATTCATTTGCTTTCTTAGTCAACCAAACCAATACTTGAGGCAGCTTAGACTCAGATCCACTCTTTTCTCTCTGACCTGGTGGAAATGAAATGTTTTTCTTGTTGTCATGGTGAATAATTAATACAAAGTAAATTCAGTTCACTATAAAAACTTAAAAATAGATAACATTTTAAATCAGTGTGTGTGTGTGTGTGTGTTGTGTGTTGTGTTTGTGTGTGTGTTTATGTATGTGATGTTTTCTTTGTCCACACCTTTATTGACTGATACCTATGCTGGTTATAAAATTTAGACTAATGAGTAGTGGTGCAATAGTCATTGACTTGCAAGTATCCCCTCGATGTGTTGTCTTGAAGTACTTTGTATAAAGGCTCGGGGTGGTCTAAAAAATAATAGATAACATTTTTAACTCCGCTAAATGTCCATATACCGACTTGTACTGATCGTCTTGGACACTAGATGGCGATATAAGCGCATCACATAATAAACCTTTCCTTAATTGAGCCAGCTTTAAAATCCAGGCAAAGGAGGCCAGGGAGCGCAGGTTAATGCATTAAAGCAGCAAAGTCAACTAGAATCAGGGGTTGGGAGTGAGCTAATACTCTGAATGTGTTCAGTAACCCAATGGTTATTGAAAGAAGACATTGTTAAACACACACACACACAACACACACACTCACACACACACACACACACACACACACACACAGAGAGAGAGAGAGAGAGAGAGAGAGAGAGAGAGAGAGAGAGAGAGAGAGAGAGAAAGAGTTAGTCTGTTGTTGAAAGACCTTCAAGCTGATTCATGGTGCAAAAGTTGGCAAGGAACACACAAATCTCAAATGTATTCAGCTCATATGTTCACCTCCGTTTTTGATTTTCAGCTTTTAAATTAGCAGTTGTTTGGAGTGGTGTGTGCCTCACCTGTGTTATTCACTGATGAAAAGGTGCCTTCTTATCAGGGATGTGAGCCCAGGACTTGGGAATTTTAAGGGGAAATGGGGGACTTACTGTAAGCAGTTAGCTGGGCCATTATTGACTGGCAGGCTCAACTGGAAGCACTTCGTTAGTGTATTAGGTTGCCCTGGAAATGCCTTCTTGAAACTCTAATGATGCACTTAACGGAGCCCTCTGGGACAGGGGTAAAATGTCTCTTAGCAGGCGTGTCTTCCATGGGAGTACTCTTGGGATGGGTTGGGATGGGCAGGCGCATCTAAAGAGAGTCTCAGCAAGGAGGAAGCCTCAGAACAGGTTGCCGGTAGCAGTTTCTTATAGGTAAGTCAAGATAATGACTTACTGTTAAAAATTCCTAGCTTTTTATGGACGTTTGAATGAACATTCTGAGAAAGCATCTTCGATCTTGCATGTGTGCCTGTGTCTGTGTGTGTGTGTATACGCACGCTTGTGTTGGCCTAAGGAATGAAGGGGAAAGGGCATTTGAATACGACTGTAATCAAAGGCTTAAAAGGAATGAATACAAAACACTTTGTAACTTGAACATTCCTCAGATTAAAGGGAAAATGGTTTAGAGGGAGACATGAGCCCTTCTGCAGAGCCATGCATTTGAAGAGCTCGTCCGGGGGTTTTTCAAATGAAAATCACTGCCAATGTGGAGGGTAATTGATGGGGGCGGGGAGGGGTGCGTTGGAGTTGAAGGCAGGGAATAGCTGAGAGGTGGCTTGTGCAAACTCCTGATCACAGGTCCGACGGGGGCCGGTGGGGAGCAGCGTCCCCGCCCTGCACCAGGACCCAGCGCCTCCCGTCCAGTGCCCACCGCGGGCGCCACGTCCAAGTCCCCGTCAGTGCTGGCAACCTGTCACCGCCCAGGACGTGACTCTGAGCTGCCTCCGCTCTCTCTAAGCCCTATTCCTTTAAGATGATGTAATAGTCATTTCCCTGGATGGTTTCTTGCCTGCACTGCTCACACAACAGCATCCGAACTGCTCCTGGCATCGTGGGACCTCCCAGCTTCGGAACCCGAGCCCGGCAGGCATCTCCCCGTCGCCCTGGCTCCTTCTTGCTCCTAACTGGCGGGGATATGGGCGTCCCTTTGCCCTTGCCGGCAGGTGGGATGGCTGCTGAGACCCTGGCCAGGCGCATTTGTCTGTCTGTGTGCTTCCAGGCTCTCTGAACGCATCCAAGTCCAGGTACCTCTTGCAACTCTCCCAGGTGTAAAGGATCTGTCGTAAAGATTTGGATTTTGGTCTTTCTTGTTTTCCCTGCCGAAGCTTTGGTTGAATATATTTTTCTCTGTTTCACTTCTTCGACTCAACCTCCTCACGGTTCAACTTTTTTTTTTTTTCCGATCCGTTTTTAAGTAGACATTTGGGAGTGAATATGTACACACATATACACAAACGTACATCTACGAGCTCTTAAGTGCAGTGCAGAATCGTTTGTTTCCCCGAGATCCCCTCTCTCTGGCACTTTTCATTGATACCATCTGTCCATTACCTGTTTGGGATTTGACAAGAGATCCAGACCCTGCCTGGCTCTGGTTTCCTGATTGCTCTGGAGATTTCTTCTCAAGAACCGAGTCTCCAGCACTCGCTAAGGTAAGCGCAGAGACTTCACTGCTTTCTCTGTCCTGTCTGGGGAAAAAAAAAAAAAAAAAAAAAAAAAAAAAAACCGGGGTTCTTTGGAAGTTGAAAATTGCATATGCCTTTTACATCAGATTTACAAACAGGATGAATCTGAGCAGCAGTTGGCTGGAGACAGTGGCATAGGATAAACTTAAAGACAGTGCAGTCTGGGGGAAGCACTAACTCAGGTAAGGAGTGACTAAAGTCAATAGTTACAGGATGCTTATGTAAAAATAATCTCCTCCCTGTCGTTTTCCCTCCCTTTCTCCTTCTCTCCCTCTCTGCTCTCCCCAGAGATTTCTCCTTTTCTGACTCATTCTGGGTCTAAGGAAATAATTTCTCTCTTCTCCCCTCAGACAGACCTCTGAGTAACTGGGCACTTGGCTTTCTTGCCTAGACGGCCTAATGGAAGATCGAATGTAGACAAGCTGATTATTATATCCTGTGAAGTGGTAGCTCACTACCAGACAGCTTTAAACTCTCTGTCCAGCATCATTTCACCTGTGGACTCTCCTAAATTTTGCTTTGTTGGGGGAACAAAGAGCAAAAGCCGGTAATAGGAGGTCACTGTAAACAAGTTAGCACCTCTTCCCTCCCTTACAATTGGATGCAAAGCCTGAGGCTGTAACTTGGTTGGATTGCACCTTTAAGTCCAGGAAGCTGCAGAAGAAAAGGGACAATGGCTCTGAGTGGGAACTGTAGTCGTTATTATCCTCGGGATCAAGGGGCCACGGTTCCCAACTCCTTCCCTGAAGTCATAGAGCTGAACGTTGGGGGCCAGGTTTACTTCACCCGTCATTCCACATTAATAAGCATCCCCCATTCCCTCCTGTGGAAAATGTTTTCCCCAAAGAGAGACAACGCTAACGATCTGGCCAAGGACTCCAAGGGAAGGTTTTTCATCGACAGAGATGGCTTCCTATTCCGTTATATTCTGGACTTTCTCAGGGACAGGCAGGTAGTCCTGCCTGATCACTTTCCAGAACGGGGAAGGCTGAAAAGAGAGGCTGAGTATTTCCTGCTCCCGGACCTCGTAAAGCTCTTGGCCCCGGAGGAAGTCAAGCAGAGCCCGGATGAATTCTGCCACAGTGACTTCGAGGATGGCTCCCAAGGAAGCGACCCAAGAATCTGCCCCACATCTTCACTGCTCCCTCATGACCGCAAGTGGGGTTTTATTACTGTGGGTTACAGGGGATCCTGTACCTTGGGCAGAGAGGGGCAAGCAGATGCCAAGTTTCGGAGAGTTCCCCGGATTTTGGTTTGCGGAAGGATTTCCTTGGCAAAGGAAGTCTTTGGAGAAACTCTGAATGAAAGCAGAGACCCTGACCGAGCCCCAGAAAGATACACCTCCAGATTTTATCTCAAGTTCAAACACCTGGAAAGAGCTTTTGACATGTTGTCAGAGTGTGGATTCCACATGGTGGCCTGTAACTCCTCGGTGACAGCGTCTTTTGTCAACCAGTACACAGAAGATAAGATCTGGTCAAGCTATACCGAATACGTCTTCTATCGTAAGTAGGAAGGCTTCCATTTATTTTTGTGTATTTGACTCCACTTCACAGATGTATGTGGTCTCGTGTTTTGTTAGGGTCCAAGGATACTAGTTTGGGATTGCAGCTGTGCTGAAACTATAGAGTCCTAGAGGCTACACTTCAGTTATTGCTCCTTACCGGATCCTGGAGGTCACAGGATAGTTAGACTTCAAATTTTCGACGGGACCAATGATGCTGTCAGAGTTCAGAAACAAGCATGTGTGACTTTTTTTCCTAGATAGTGACTTGTGAAGATGAGATTGCTGATAGAGCTTGGCTGATGTTTCACAAGGTTTGGAGAGTCAGTTCAGAAGAAGGACTAAGGCCAGTCCTCTCAGCTAAACTCTTGAGGTCTGTGAAGCTGATTGCTGGAAGCTTGCTTTCATTACTGGCTTTCAGAACACAGATGGATGCTGTACAGAGTGATGTGGTCTTGGCTAGATGGCAGTGCAGACTGCTGAAAAGCCCCCATTTCCCCCAGGTCTGAAATCCACTGTTACAGGCTTTGCAAATCTGTTGTTTCGTTCTTTAACTTCTGCTGAGACTGGAGTTGCATTGCAGGCTTAATTTAGCCTAACTTCATTTAAGATTCACCTAAAAAGTACTAGATCCCTGAGAATTGCCAGTCACATGCAAACACCTTAGATGCTGAGTTGATAGAATTCCTGACATTAAAAAAAAAAAATAATGAGTATGTATATGTGAGGAGATGTGATTGTCAGTGCCTTTCAAGTAGGGCTCTCCAAGTCTGTCCTTTTGCTTAAATGGACATTTAGGGTGTGGATAGCCTTGTTTTATGGATGGACATTGTGAAACACAAGCTGGTCTTTGGAGGAAGAACAGTAAATTGGGATATATATAGCATGATACTTGGTTTAACTGCTGATTTTCAACAGGATTTGGGTTTGGGTGTTGAGTTCATTGTTAGCATTCCATTTCCTTCTGCTGACTTTTGTTTGTTTGTTTGTTTTTTAAGACAGTGTTTCCCTGTGTAGCTTTTGAGACTTTCCTAGAACTGTCTCTTGTAGACCAGGCTGTTCTTGAACTCACAGAGATTTGCCTGCCTCTGCCTCCCAAGTGCTGGGATTAAAGGCATGCACCAACACCACCTGGCTCTTTCTGCTAATTATAAAGCAATTTCAGAACTCAGGATTAAGATATCTACATTTGTTTAAATATAAAGGGAAGATGGAGTTTCTTGAACCAGGTTTTGCCTATAGTTGTGTTTCTCCATTTGAAGTTTGTGCAGGTAGAGAAACCAATGGAATGTGGAGTTTCTTCAAACTGGGTCATCATCACATATCTATTCGGAAGTAAGGCTGTGTGGATTGCATGGGCAAGATGGCCTATGAAGAAAAAATAAATCAACCCTAGGAGGTTGCTGATTTGTATGGAATAGCAAACATTATTGGTCCAGTGACATTAATGTGACCTTTGCAATCATCTTCATTTAGGCCAGAGCTTAATCAACAAATACTGCTTTCTTCTGCCTGGCAAAGTTCCCATGGATACAGAGATTAGATTCTAGATTTTAAATCTTCTGTTAGGGGCTGTCACTATCTGTAATCCTGTAGAACATATGTCTTCTTCTCTTCTTCAAACTTTGGGGAAAAATATGCTTTAAAGATAGTTCAAATGTAGGTTTGTGCACTTGACTTTTAATTATTTACCCACCCAATTGATGCATTTGCCATCTAGGTCAGCAGTGTTTCTGTATTCATCAAGGGCTTATCTGTCTGACACTATGTCTTCTTTAGAATGTTGTGGAAATGTTCCAATCTCCTGATCATATAATTGCTGCTTCTTTTGTTTAGCTGTTCAGCAGTAGTTTGCTCTCCATCTCTATGGATAGGCTAACACAACCACAGGAGCTTCATACTAACAGTATAATATATTTTGCAAATCATAGACTTCCCTTTTGTACCCGACATCCAGAGCTAGGTATTAACTCTTCCTCTGTCTTAGGACCAATAAAACTGACAGCTGGCTTTCTAGGGTGCATAACAGCTTCTGTGCAGCTGCTTAGCCATAATTATTTAATTAGAAGCTGCCAACTGTGCCTATATAAGCATTAATTCATCAAGCTGTTGTGCTCTGCTTAATGGGCCGAAACCATGGGAAGTGCTCTAGAGCACGGAGTTGACTGCATGCAAAGATGCTTTTCTCAGAGGAACTAATTTTCTTCCTGAACTTAATGGTAGTAAATTCACCCCCCCACACACACACCTTAGATGCAAGGAATTAACTCTATCCATTGCCTTGATCCACGTCTCCTCAACAAATGAACATAAGGAACTAATGTATTGATTTGGTTAACAGCCATGGAAGTGAAGACCGCCACCTCATCCTCCATTTTCCTGTTTGCCTATTTTTCACCCATGTTTTGCAAGAGTAAAATTCCATTTATCAACAGATTAGATGGATGGCATTCTTGTCTCCTTTATCCTTTCATGTGGGTCTAGAACTGATGGTCAGCATCAGTTAATCCCCAGTGTTTTGTTGACATAGAAAGCCACTTAGTATCTGCAAGTGTTTAAGAGAGGCAGAAGAAATGTAAGCTGTCTCATTCAGTTGCTAAAAAAAGAGTATGACAGTAACATAAAACTGAAGTATCTGAGCTAGGATGGACTCACAGGATATTTTAGACATTTTTTCTTTTGACCTTTATTTAAAACAACGAAAAGGTGCCATTTCACCCCATCAGCTAAATCCCACCTCCTTGTTCTTCAAGGACGTCGTGAAAGGTAGCACTGTAAACAGCAGTCAGTGTTCCATGGCTCACCTTTAAATAAAGTGTCCATTCAGTAATTTGAAAACCAGAGGCCCTAGTCTAATAAAATCACAAGTGTACAGAAAGGAAGGGACACTGGCTTTCTATGGCCTTTTCTAAGAGAGGGTGGGAAGACTGTTACACATGTTTTCTGAACCTCAAGAGTAACTTCAGGTGAATATCTGAAAGCGGTGGTGGTGGGACGGATTGAAAACATTTAGTTCTAATAAAACAGCATGGCCACAAATAGAGAGTTTAGTTCATAAGATAGTGTTTAAACTATGTGTATAGTCTGAGCTCTTTTAATTGGACAAATAGTTATCAAGTCACCATCTTTTATACAAATGACTGCACATGGATGTGTTTTTAACCTTTATTCTTTTCACTTTGTTTCCCTCAATTTAAAGGGTCACACCAACAAAGGTCTCAAATTTCTTGAATATGTACACACATATATACATATGCTGTTGATTAAGAAAAGACTTTGTCGAAAAGTAGTAGATCATGCAACTGTTTCCCACTTAGAACTCAATTCAGACCATGAACTGAGAAGAGGTGATTGTATCCACTGTGAATCATTTCTGCAATATTGACCACAAAGCTTCAAATAAAGGGTATACTTGCAAAGGAAAAACAAGAGGAAGCGGAAGTTCATCTATCCCGAAAGGATGGTAGCTCCCTTTTATCTTGATAACGTGGCATCAATTTTTATTTCTCATTGAGCTACAGCTTTGGTACATTCAAGTAAACCAGAGCGTAACCCAAATTATGGGGTAAAGGAAGCTTGCTCTCTGTATCTCTACTTCCTGTGACTTTTTCTCTGCCCTTGCAACTCAGGTGTTTTCTTGTCTCCTTGTTGAAGTTTTTCCGGGTGTCAAGTTTCGTCTCCCCATGCTATAACTAGGCTTTGTTGTCAGGAAAACTTTTTGTGCTATTGTTATACATAGAATGCTCTTGAGGTCTGCCATTACTTTTCCCAGAAGTATCTGAACATGCGACAACTTCCCATAGTTGTGTACCAGGCAGCCTTTTATCCTGAAAATAATGTTCTTAAGACTCCAGGTTACTTAAGTTTTAATTAAAAACAAATCATAACTTATTTAAGTCTAAGGCAATATGAGGAAGTCAGCATAAACCCAATGTCAGGCATGTATTGGAAGGCACAGTACAGAGGGGATGACATCATTTTCTTTTTATTTCTTTAAGATGTTGTGTGCTGAGAAATGGGTTCCATATAATAGTTGAATAAGCATGTTAGAAATAAATTTTTATACTGTTTTCACTTCTATTCCAAATAAGATCTGTTACCTGGCTTCAATCTTTTGTGGGAGGTGATTAAAATAGCTTATCCCTGGGACTAAGACATTACTGAATGAATTCAGCAGCAAGGAAGATGTCAGTCAGTGAGAAGAAAGGGAAGAGGACAAGTCTCTAACATCGCTTCCAAAAGGCCTGAAAAGGTAGGGGGTGGTGGAAAATGACTTTAATCCAAGCACTAGGGGGGCAGAAGAAGATGGATCTCTGTGAGTTCGAGGCAAGCCTGGTCTACAGAGTTAGTTCCAGAACAAGACTCCAAAGCTACACAAAAAATCCTGTCTCAGACAAAAAAAGCAAACAAACAAAGACAAATGTCCTGAAAAGTTAAAAATACAATTGGAAAGAGAGGAGTAAGCCTAATGAGATTTAGATCCTATCAAATAAAGTTGAAACACAGAGGGCTGTGAGTGCACCAAAACACTCCCAATGTGGAATCCATCCAAACATAAAACGTGGGGAGAAGAGGAATGGCTGACTGCTCAGGCACTTTGAGTTCACATTTCTGAAAGCCATTACTTTAAAATGGATAAGTAAGCTCTGCTTCATTATTCACATTTCATTTTAACTTTTCTTAAACCTCATAGTTCTTGGGTAGCTTGTTAATTTTTTTTATTTCAAGTGTAAACAAATGCAGAGATAGTGTGCAAGAGGCTTCAGTCTAATTAACACCCATCTCGTGATTATTGTGATTGTTAGCATGAGGAAATTCTCCTACATCTATGCTCTAATTGACCTTACCTCTGGTCTGTTCTGGATAACATTGGTCTTGTGACTCATCTATGAGTATTATAGCCAGTATTTGTATAAGTTAAAAAAATAAAACCACACACACACACACACACATACACACACACACACACACAATACAATTACTACAAACAAAACCAATATC